CCTCCTCCTCCTCCTCCTCCTCCTCCTCCTCCTCCTCCTCCCTCGGCGCCACGGAGAACTCGCGACGGGCAGCCTTTGGCAATCGTCAGCACCCTGGGGGCCCTCGCCAGGCCCCGGGACCGTCAACGACACGACTCGGGACGAAAAGCAGGTCCCGGCAAAAGGGTCGAGACCTCTGCGGGTCCACGTGGTTCAAGATTATGCCGTCGGGCGTCATCGAGAGGTGGGGCGCCTCGACACGGCAAAACCAAGAGAAAGTCAGGTACACATGCGGCAGAATGCCCATACGTAAACAGTCTTGCGCAGCGGCGATGGGAGGCCGCCGCGGGCCGGCGACCTCGGGGGCCCCAGCTCCCTCGCTTGGCGCTCGGCAATCGGGAACCGAACTCTACAAGCCGACGCTTTTTCCGGCCCGCACTGAGACTCGCACAGGCAGGCGAATCCTGGTGTACACGGGGCCCTGGTGTATACATGTTCCATTGTCGAGACGGGGCCAGAGCAGCCGACCGCAAGCTGGCTGAACAGGCTAACCTTAGGTCGGCCAGGTCCCCCTACAGGCGGATTCTGGACGAAAATAACAAAATACACCCAAATACGTACGCACAAAAAAAAAGAAATGGTTGAAAAATCGTCCCCTGACTATCTTTTTATGCAATGTTTGACTATTCCTCCTGTAGAGGGACACGCCCGACTTACGGCTAACCGAACCAGCGCAGACTTGTGGAGCACTGCGAAGACGTGTGGGACATCGGCGCCAGGAACTCCCCCGGGCGGCGCGGCGCGCTCTGGCCGCGCCAGGGATGCGGGGGGGTCCGGGCAGCTCCAAGACGTCCGCGCGGAGCTTCGAGCACGCATATGTTCCGGGAGCGCCCAAGAAGGGGGGGCGCCCAGGGGGGGGGGGGAGGCGCAGGTCATGACCGGCGGCACGTGCGCGGCCCGGCGGGGGTGATGGGCCTGTTTTCCACCACCACCACCATAAGTTGGAGGGGGAGAGGGTCCACCCTCTCCTCCTCCACCTCCTCCTCCTTGTCCTCGTCCTCCTCCCCCTCGTCTTCCACCTCCTTCCCCCCTCCAACCCATGGTGGTGGTGGTGGTGGAAAACAGGCCCATCAGGGGGGGGGAGGCTGGGGACGTCATGAAGTGAGAAGGCGCGCCGGCCCGAGCGCGGAGGCGCACAGGCGCGCGGCGGGCAGCAGCGGGAGCCCTCGCCCGGGCAGGGGCGGCGCGCCCGCTGCCCGGCAAGAGGGCGCGCGGCGCCGCCGAGCGGGCCGCCCTCCCCTGCTGGATGAAGGGAGGAAAAACCACCCAGACCGGACAATCGGCGTTTACTAAACGGCCCTGGCCGTTTACTAAACAGCCCTGCCCTGTTTGATCTCTTCCTTGGGCGCGTTTGCTAAACGACTTCGCGTGTCGGGGTGGTTATTATGGGGGTGGATTTTTTGACCTCTACTGGAGGGTGGCAGCGAGCCTCCCAAGGCTGGCCCGAACGCGCGTGCGGATCGCCTCTGCCGCGCTGCGACGACTGTTTCCATAGAGGCTAAAAAAACAGCCCCATAAATAACCACCACCCCGACAAGCGAAGCCGTTTCACAAGCGCGCCCACAGGAGGAATCGAGCAGGGCAGGGCCGTGTAGTAAACGCCCAGGGCCGTTCAGTAAACGCCAAGTTGTCGGGTCCAGGAGGTTTTTCCTCTTTGATTCGAGCCACGAAAGAAACAAAATCTGGATCTAGCCCTGGTCCAGAGCCCTGCGCGCCGCCGCGCCCGGGCAGGCCGTGCTGCCAGCCCGGGCGTCGAGCCTTGCCCGGGATGGCCAGCAAGGGCTGTCAGCCATCCTCCGCATTCGCTCCGTCCCCGCTTCGGGACCCTGGGTGTGCACATCATCACGCGCGCGCGGGCCGGAATTCTCGACGTCGGCGCTGATCGCAAAAGGCGAGAGCGGGGACCCTGGTCCTGGTCGGAATCAGCGATTTCCCCTTGAGCGCCGACGGTTCCACTTCAGTTTGATTTGCAGTGGCTGAATGTGTTGGCCAGCGCTGTATACGATAAAAACATAAGAGCCCGTTATGTTATCAGAATAAGGGGGACTGAACGGTCATTCACTTTGGCGTTGTTGTTGCGCTGTTGCGCTGTTGCGCTGTTGAGTTCTCATATCTAAAGAATGCATGTCGTCGGCCCCACCCCGGTGCCCAGTGCGCTTGTTCACTTAACGTTCTCCTCCCCGGGGCTTGCACCCTGTTCTTTACAAAGGGGAGTGTTGCGGCTCACGTACTGGTTTGCTGGTCGTCGGAAATTACATGCAACAACAAGAGCAACATCAATAACGACTCCCGCCTGAGACTTCCCCACAGTGTATTCACAGTCGTGCTCTCGCGCGGGACGTCCTAACAATTCGTCTAGGAATCGCACCCTCGCGTGGTACTGCCTCGCAGTGTACTGAAACGCCGCACGTTCGACACTCAGGAGTCACGCGCTTGCCTTGGAATTTCGTACGAGCTACTTGCGAATAATCTCAGTCGTGCTCCATCCTTCGCTCTCCCTGCTGTCCCTTCCCTCCTCCCTTCCCCTATGCCAGGGGCTGCGCAAACTACACGTGGCAGGTAAGGAAGAGTTCCAGTAAAGGGGCACCATCAAAGAAAACGAGTACGGGTATCGAGGGTGTGGAAGATACGTGTTGAATGGCACGCGGGCAGATGAGACGAACTGCCCTAAAATGCTCGAGGATTCGTTGGCCCCTTGTGGAGCACAAGGCTCCGCAGGTTAGGCTTGCTGTTCCCTGCTCCAGATCCAGTTCCAGTCTCCGATGTTACAATTCTGTGTTTTGCTTCCTACTATATATTGCTGAAGTCCGCGCGAAGGGGGGGGAGCCGAAAAGGGTCGTGGTTACCACCTCCTGGGGGGGCAATCAGATTTTCTGGGGGGTCCTGATACAGACAAAAAACTTGAGATTCACGTCACGAAACCATAGCCAATAGTAAATTACGCCATGTTCGCGTCCCGGAGTCCATAATCCTTAGTAAGTTCTTCAATAGTCGCGTCCCCGAGGCCATACATCCTTGCAAATTGCATTGTGTTCGCGCTCCCAAGACATAGTTCCTTTCAAATTACACGATATTCGCGTCTCCAATGCAATATCCGCTCGTAGATTACAAAACATCTGCGTCCCCGAAGCCACGATCACTTGTAAATTGCGCGTGCTTCGCGTCCCCGAAATCGTTCACCTTTGTTAAATATGAAGCCTTCGTGCTGTTGAAATCAGAGCCCCAACCACGATACAAGAGACCTCCGAGACGGCCCAAGACAGCTCCACGGCGCCCAATATGGTCCCAAGACGGCTTACCAGGCTCCCAAGAGGCCCCCAAGAGCCAACGCTGCTTCACGACGGCGCCCAGGCCTCGCAACATAGCTCTTGCATACCCCACTCTCCGAGAGAGGGGGCCGGCGGCAGGGGGCGAAGCCCTTACGGATATTTGTTTTGTTGCCCCCCCCACTCCTGGTGCCCATTGTGCTTTTGTTCATGCGAAACTCCTCCCCAGGGGGTCGCACCTTGTCTGTCATCAGGGAAGGTAAAAGGCTCAAACTGTGTCCTTGGCCCCGGGATCACAACAACTACATCGGCCCCCGTATCACAACAACAGCAACAACAAAAACAACAACGATTGATGGAGAAATCGCGATGTTGCGAGGGACTTCCTCATTATGTGTACAAGTATCGCGGTCGCGTGGTACCCACTCGCATTTTACTAGAACGCCGCGCCCCCAACATTCAGGAATCACTCGCTCACCCAGGACTTCGCTACGACATACTTGGGAACCGCTGTCGCTCGAGACGTCCTCCCAAATCATGCAGGACTGACGCTTCAGCGACCTGCCCGCTCGACCCCTCCGTTTGGGCCCGACACGATAGTCTGGCTGCACCGCCTGTTCTTCTGCTCCTAACCCCCATGCTGCAAATCTCTGTCGTGCTCCATCCTTCTGTCTCCCCCTTGTCCCTTCCCTCTTCCTTTCCCCAGTGTTCGAGGCTGCACCATCTACACGTGGGAAGCAGTGAACATATCCCCCCAAGGGGGTATGATCGAAGACGAATAGGGCGGGTATCGAGGGTTGGGAATCGACATGTTCACTCGCAAGCGAGCAGATAGAACGAACAATATAATCATGATTATTGTTGGTGTTGTCGTCGCCCTCGCCCGCGACCCACCCGCGCCCAACCCACATTGCTTAACGAAAATTTGGCGCCTGCGGCGGGCTCCTTGCGCAATGTGTTCAAACTGCGGCGCTTGCGGCGGGCTTCTTCAGAACCTCGCAGACTGCCGATGACCCCGCCGTCGCCCCACTCTTATCCGCAAATGCGGGGTGCTTCGTAGTTCCTCCTGCTTTGATTTGAGGGGGGGATGGGCAGTTCTCCATGGGCCATTGATGGCAGGCTGATTTCTGCTCTGGCGTGCCTGCTGCTAAGTAGGGCTGGGGGGTCAGGTCTGCAGAACACCCTAAACGGACGTCAAGGGGCGCAACCAACCTGCTCGGTCAAGCTGAAATTGATGCACCACACCTGGCGGCACGCCACACCTGGCATCCAACCGTTCGCTTCGCGATATGTCACATACCGCGAAGTGAACGGTTGGATGCTGCACATCTTCGTCGGCTTAACTGGCGAGGCGTTTGACCACCCTGACGTCCTTATTGGGTGGTCCTGCAGAGGAAGGCGCTCTCTGACCCTCGGCCCTACTCAAGCCTGCTGTTCTGGCTGGCCACACGCAGGAGCGGCCCAGGGCAAGGCTGGCCTTTGGCACGCGACTTTCGCGGGGCGCGGGGGGGGAGGGGGGGAGGGAGAGAGGGCCAAACCCGAGCGCGGAAGCCGCTGCTATCGCATCGCATCCAGAATTCTGGAAAACCCTGCGCGCCCGCACAAAGAAGCTGGGGAAACGAAAAGGTACCGATACTGCTACTCCCCAGACCTCTCCCGGGGCTCGTTCTGACTAGGGCCGTCCAGGAGGCCCACAAAGCGGAGAGCGAGGGAAGGGTAGCGATACGGGTGCCTCTTCCTCCTCCGAGAAGCCACTCCGGCGAACGGTCACTCTCACGCGCAGCCGACTGCCGTGTGCCGCCCTTGGCCCCCCGGCGGTCCTCCCGCCCGCGCTCGGCCTCCGAACCCCCAGGCGAGCACGGCCCCGTCCTCCAGCAGCGCCGCGGAGACCCCCGAGGCGGCCGCGGCGAGCACGGGCATCGGCGCCTCCACCGCGCGGGGGACGGACCTCGGCGGGCGGCCCACAGCGGCGCAAGAGCTCACGAGCGGCAGACGCGGACGTGTCCGTATCCACGCGGGACTTCGCGATCCCGTGGATACGCGGTCGCACGGCCGCGCTCCGCGCGGGGCACCCGCGGAACAAATCACGCTCTGTATCCGTGGGGCCGCGGCCCAGGGGCCCGGCCCACTGGGCCGTAGATGTGGAAATGCCCCCCGCCCGCGAACAGTCGGGGCGAGACCCTGGGCCCCCCCCATCCCCAGGGCGCTCCACGCGCTGGGGGCGAAGCCAAACGCGCCGCGGAAGGGTGCCAAAGGGATGAGCGTCCGGCGCCCGGCGGAGAAACCGTCCGCGGAGATCCTGCAGGTTTTATTCCCCCGAGCGTGGCTGCACTCAGGGGCGCCTGGCCGCGGAGGGAGACGGGGGGGGGTCTGGCCGTCGCTGTTTTCTGGCGGCCGCGCATGCCTGCTGGGTCCTGGGGGCCCTGGCTGGCCCTGGCCGTTGCGCTCTTCCCTGGCCGGCTGGCCCTGATCAGTGGCTGCCCGATCGGGTCTCGCGCACGGGTGGCCCCCGCGTAGGTTGCGCCGTACAGATTTGGCCATACTCCTCATGTGCGACCCTCAGGGCGGCTGTTCCTCGCGACTGAAATCTGCCTTCTGGCCAGGGTCCTCGCTATTCCTGATGCTCATGTATGGCTTTGAGTGCTTCTTGTTGTTCTCCTATAAGCCCTGGAGGCACGCAGTGGTGGTGCTGCCACGGGTGTGGGGGCGCACGTTCTTCACGGGTCAGGATGTGGCCGCAGCCGCGAGGCTCTCTCTGCAGATTGCTTGGGGGGTCCTCCGAGCCCTGGCCTCCATGAAGTATCCCGCATTGCCACAAGTGTAGGCAACAGGTGTTGGTGGTAGTGCAGCCCAGAGAAGAGAGCACAAGGTCGTAGGGATAGACTCTGGGGGCGAGAGGAGCGTTACTCTATCCTGTCTCACGAGTAGGCTCGTCATCAATGCGTACCAAAATGTGCCCTTGCATTCGCGAAGGGTGTTTCTTGGCAGGGAGCTCGGCTGCATGACCAGCCTTCCCGAGTGCCATAGAACAGTCAAGGAGAGCGCAAAGTATGCACCAACAATCCTCCGAAATATACACTTGACGGATTGATTCAGCAGACGCTGACGCACAAGAGGGTTCGATGCAACAATGGGCGGGGGAGTGGGGGCGCGCCGTTGCGAGAAGACGACCCCATGCCCAAGCAGTCCCGTGAAGACTCCGATGAACCCCGAATCGTTCCCTGAAACCCATGGCTATGTTTGCCAAGCCTTTCCTCAGGAATGTGGTGCACCGATCCTGGTCAGGCCCATCCCTGGCTCTCCGATGAGAGACCCCCCCTGTCTTGAAGGCAGTCGGGATGTCTGAGCTGCTTGGGGCTCCAGAAGATCGGTCAGGAGGGCGGGATGAAGACAAATCCGATCACAATCGGTCCTCGGACCACTGCTGGGGCCCACCTGGTGCAACTTTTGGCCCCGGATCCAGTTTCCACTGTCCTGGGGCCCGACAACGGCCCCAGGAGACTGAAACAGGAAACCAAACAGAAACCCTCCCCAGCTCAGAATCTCGAACCTCTCAGCCCTTCCCGGGAACCAGTGCAAAGCCACCTCGGACCCCTAGACGGCCTTACGACCCACCCGTGTCTGCACCCCGCGCTTGGACTCGCACTGGGACCTGTCCACGAGGGAGCCGTCCCCCAGCTGCCCCTCGTCGTTGCCGCCCCACGAGTAGAGCCTGGCGCGGGCTTTCCCCGAAGACCGCTCCTGTAACCCCTTGGGGATCCTCCCTCGAGGAGAGACGTTTGCGTCATCGACATAGTCGACGCCACCGTTCCCATCGACATCAACATCAACATCAACAACATCAACACCAACATCAACATCAACAGCATCATCACCACCAGCAATATTACAATCATCATCGGCATCATCATCATCATCATCCTCATCATCATCATTGCCATCATCACCATTCACCATCATCATCATAATCATCAGCATCGTCATCATCATCATCCCAATACTCATCCTCATCCTCATCATCACCATCACTAGTACCATCATCATCGGCATCATCACCATCATCATCATCATCATCATCATCATCATCATCATCATCATCATCATCATCATCATCATCATCATAAACACCCAAACCATCGCAAACCCTTCATCATCCTTATCGTCATCAACATAATTATTAACACGCATGGGCATTATGATTCCATTCCCTCGCGTTCTCCACGTCCTTTCCTCCTCATGCTCCCATCACGCTTCTCCCTCCCAGACTCCCTCCTTCCCCTCGGCGTCCTCTCCTCCTCCTCGAACTCATCTTCCCCCCTCATCCCTAGAACTCTCCAGAAGTATCGGGAAACAACACCTTGCCTAGAGTCCCACCTGAAACTAGCCAGTCTAGCACTATATCATCAAAGATGCGCTTCATCAGTGCAGATCTACGGTTGTAGTTTCCCCCTTGTTTGCTGTTTCATTTTCTCGTGGCCTTTAATGTTTTTGAGAGCATCGGCTTCAAGCAGCGCGAGGTCGGTTGCAAAACAATTGTTGGTGGACAGGGCACATTATAAAGGATGCTCAAGCACATGAGGTCTATGTTCGAGCAACGCGTGGACTATTCTACATTGCTGCTTTCAACACCTACATTGCGGTTTCTGGTGATCAACCAGACCGTTCTTGAACGTCGACCAGTTGTTTAACATAACGTCTTTGAACATCGACGTTGCGGTGTCGTCGTCGCCACGTCGTCGTCGTCGCGTCGTCGTCGTCGCGCCATCGGCGTCGCCATCCTCTTGGTCGGCATCGGTCGCTGCGTCGTCGTCAGCTTCGTTGTCGCCGCCGTCGCGCAATCGCCGGCGTCGCCAACGCCGTCGTTGTCGTCGTTGTGAGCGAGGATGAGATGAGGAATGAACCGAAGGGGGGGGGGGGGTAGCTCGACATGGTACTTACCCGCGGATGGCGGGGACGCCGCTGCGGCATCACTCCGCTGCAACTCCGCGGAGGCCCGCGAAAGTCGATGGTGGCGTCAGTTGTTCAATTCGGAGCCCCCTCTGAAAGGCGAGGACCCGTTTGGATTCACATTGGACATCGCTCAGCTGGACCTGTCAGTCTGATGATGGTGCGGTCGAGAATTTTTACTTGGCGCGACGCCAAGGCGGCTCCAGCGACACGCTGTGCCCAACGCGCTGATAAGAGTGCGGGTCCGCTCGACGGGGCGGGAGGCTCGGAAAAACACCGGACGTCGACTTGTCGGGACTAGGACATGGATGGCGTGCCGCGCCGAAGCGTGGTGGGCCAGAACCGGGGGAGCGAGACAACATCTGAAAGTGCCCGGCCGTAAGTGGCACCAGAAGCAATCGCCCGCAAGAGAGTGATGATAGTCAGCGGCACGGTGATGGGTGGGGGTAGGACGAGGGGGAAGAGGCGGAGGATGAGTAGCACGAGGGGGAAGAGGAGGAGGAGGAGGAGGAGGAGGAGGAGGAGGAGGAGGAGGAGGAGGAGGAGGAGGAGGAGGAGGAGGAGGAGGAGGAGGAGGAGGAGGAGAGGGAGGAGGACGAGCGAACGACACGCAGAGGGGGGCGTGTCTCAAGGTTAGCGGCGCAGCGGCCCGGCGCCGCCCACGAGGCACTGCGGGAGCCTCAGGGCGCGGAGGGCGGCCGCGGCGGCGTGGATGTTGTTGATTTACCCGTAGTTGCTGCGCTGGGCGGTGGGGTCCGTAACGCTGTCGACCTCGTCCTGGTTGCGCAGGAAGTTGTATGTTCTGTATGCGACCGCCAGCCTAGCGATGACATGCCGTGGGTGGTCATCTTCTTGCTCATGATGCGCCAGACCAATGCGAGCGAGGACGTCCGAGGAGAGCTGGCCCCGCGCTCGGGCGACTGTGGCCCACATGTGTGGGCATGTCAGGTAGTGGCTGATGTCGTCTGTGTTTTTGGAGTCGTCGCGTACGTCACATCCGAACAAGCATGGCTTCTTGTATGGGTTCACGCGCATGCGGTGGGATGTGGTCCATGCCCCCGACAGTGTCTTGACCGTCGGCCAGAAGAGCGAGGAGGTCGTGTTCGCCAGCATCTTCTGCAGCGCGCGCCACTCATGCATGATGGAGCTGGGGATGAAATTTCTTCCAAGAAGTCCATCACGTGATGCTGTGTCGTTCTTCTCGTGGATGTCCACTTGGAACCAACTCACACTGGTCGTGGTAGACGTAGTTTATGTCGTAGTTTCACAACCAGGTGCCAGGCGTGGGTTGTTGCGGGTCTCCTGCTCTATCCAGCGACGACGGGCGCGATGTTATGCGTCTTCCTCGGCCTGCTCACGCTGGGCAATGGCGGATTGACTCTCGTCTGTGTATGCCACCAATCTCCGAGGGCGGAGGCGATCACTGCGCCGCCGCGCCATCCTGCATATCTCGACCGCCCTGTCACGGCGTGCCATCTCAGAGCCGAATGCGTCGTCGAGGGCGAAGTTCGCGTCAAACTGCGGCCTCTTCAGCGCGGCGGTCACGCAGGAGACGCACCAGTCCATCCAGCCCTTCTGGTTGTCGACGTCGTTGCCGAAGAAGACGCTTGGGGCCCAGCGCTCTGCCAACGCTTCAGCACGCTCGTGTAGGTACTGCATGAAGTCGTGGGAGGCAGCGTCCGCTCGCGGTCGAGGTTCCTCTGGAGGCGCGGCCGCCAATAAGCCAGCTGCTGTACTTGATGAGGCACCCATCGCCACCGCAACGTCGGAGGGGCCGCCGCCGCCCGACGGCAGCGCAGGGAACCAGGCGAGAAGACGGCGCAGAATGGTCTTGTGGAAGGCATCGCGGTACAAATGACGTCGGAGTTATCGAAGCAATGCGTGTTGTGGGGAGGTTATGGTAGCAGCCCTTGTCACGGTGGCGTCATCACCTTGCGCCCTGCCACGAGGCCTGGATTGATGCTGACCAGCCCTGTCACGACTGGCAGTATTATTCGCTTGATGTCCTGCGCGAGCGGCAAGTTTGCGGGCGCGACTGGGCGTAGAATTCACACTTGTTGTCGAACCAGTCGAGCGGGCGAGGGTCTTGTAGATCGAGCCTTTGCCAGTCGAGAACATCTTGTTGTTGGAGACGGCGCCGAAGCGTTGAGCGATCGAGCTCTGGTCAGCCCAGCATTCAGCAGACCAGTGGCCATCTATCACCTTGCAGATCGGGAGACGCTCTTCGGCGAAATCGTGATGCCCACGAAGTATGGATTGCCATCCAGTGACGGTGGTCGTGGCCGTGCGCCACATAGTCGCAGCTAGATATGTCTCAATGCCTTGCGGTGTCGAGGTGGATGCCCAGTGGGAGAACGATGAGATGTCCATCTTCGTGAAGCTCGAAGGCGCCGCTCGGATCAGCTTGCGCAAACCATGACTCTCCTTGGCCAAGAAGAAGGGGGCAATCGGAAAGAGCTGGCCAACGTACGATACACATGTCACAGCTGCTGCGTTGTAGATGTTGATACACTGCTTGATGGGGGCGTGGGGGTCGCCAAGGATCTGGAGTCTTTCCAACCACTTGCTGGCGGGATCACAAAGGTACCGCGCCTCACTGCTGATTGTGAAATTTCTCCCCGGCTCATAGTTGTCCGTCTACATGTCACGCATGGTGTAGATGATCTCAGGTGTGGGCAGCGACCAAGTAGGGGCAATGACGCACTCCTTGGGTTGAAGACGTAGCCCAGCGTGTAGTTGAGCTGCACTAAGGCGAGGACGGAGAGCACGAAGATCGCGCAGGGCAGCGATGACGATGCCGAGGTCGTCTGCGCAGGCACTGAGAAGACCTCGCCCACGCGCAGAAAGCTCCCCCTTGATGCCTTTGGTGATGGGGTCGAAAGCGAGGGCCCACAAGGCGCCGCTCAGCGGGCAGCCTGCGGCCACCCCCGACTCAGCCAGGAGAAGAGGACGCCGAGCGCCGCCAAGCTCGAGACATGCCAGTGGCGCGTGGAAGCAGCACTGCAGGAGCTGGAGGAAGTTACCGTGGGTGCCCCGTCGCCGTAGCGTCTCCCACAAGGCAGTCGCGCGCAAGGCCGGGGAATGCAGCTGCGATGTACATGCTGGCGAAACATGGCATCAACTTGTCCGCGTTGTCGTCAATGCTGGTCGTGCGCGCGGCGGTGTCGACCTTGCCTATGTTGCTGAGGAACCGGCGGCCATTGACTAAGCCCTGCTGCTCTTCCTCAGTGACTGATGCGACTGAATGCAGGACGCGCTTGGCAGCGGCAGCAATCATCTTGATGCCGCTGTTCTTCATGGCCAGGGGGCGCAGGCAATCAAGGCTGCGCGTGCATTCGCAGTTGCCGAGCCATTCATCGCCCTTGCGGAGCATTACCATCGCAGCGCAGTTCAGGTCGTACGGGATGGGCCCGCCAGCCGCCATGGAGACGAGGAGGTCGTGGAGCACGTCGATGCTGCGTTCGGAGTGGAACCGTGCACGATATGGAAGTCCGTCAGGGCCTGGGCCAGGGTCACCTGCCAGCTGGGCCGATGTCTGGAGAGCGTCAGTGTCAGGGAGCGGAAGATCACAGAGAGGCTAATGTGAGAAGATCGAGTCTAAATAACAGCACATGTCTTGCTGGCGCACAGGCTTGGCGGCAAATGCTCTCTCTCTCTCTCTCTCTCTCTCTCTCTCTCTCTCTCTCTCTCTCTCTCTCTCTCTCTCTCTCTCTCTCTCTCTCTCTCTCTCTCTTTTTGTTGCCCAGTGGGTCTGGGTGGCGCCGTGCATGCTCGCCGGGTCGGGCACGTTGCTCCGCTCATGGCTGTCAGAGATGCGGATGCCAGCAATGATGAGCCGCTTGGCGAAGGGCTTCCAGTCCTCGCTGCGCTGTCCGATGCGTCGATCAAGGCGTCGCCATTGTTCGCTGAGACCATGCTGTTGCGAGGCAAGGGCGGCCCTGGAGTGGGCAGTAGCAGCGGGGCGACGCAGTTCGGCAACCTGGAGCTGCATCGCAGAGTGCTCCGCCTCGAAAGGATTGCGATCCACCAGGCTGGCCCGATTGTTGTGGATGCGCAGATGCGTTGCGCCCGCAGCGGTGTCTGCGCGAAGCAGTTGGGCAAGCTTGGCGTCCTGGAACCATGCCGCGCACGCAACGCTGTGTAGTGCGAGCGCACGGGCCTCGGCAATAATCTCGGGCTCGTCAAAGAGGAGCTCGGAGGCGGCGGTGCAAGATCGAGCGTCGCGCGCCATGCGAGCCGCCATCTTCGCAATGCGCTTCATTGCCCCCCACCTCGCGACAGGGTCGGGGGCTGAGAGGTCGAGTCGGCCATCTTGATGAGGCGCTGGACGTAGAACTTGTAGTGCTTGGGCTCGAAGAGGAGCGCTGGGGCGCCCCGCTCGTCGGCAGGTCGCTGTTGCCTGGGGCGGAGGCGATGGTGCAGCAGCTTGCGGTCGCCAATGGGCCCCCCCTCTCGGACGAGCGGGCGGCCGTCAGCGACGCGGACGATCTCGATGTGGGGGGCGTTCGAAGCGCTGAGCGAGGCGAAGCAGCGATCGATGGTCGCCACTGTCATGTTGGCAGCACTTCTGCGGGTGGTGGCCTTCGACGTGATCTCCAGCATCTGCGAGTAGATATTCGTCCAGAATACGGGCTGGTAGTTGTAGCGCTCGGCGGTGGAGTCGGGCACGGGCCGGGGCAAGTTCTTCGGCGGCGTGGCCGGAAGGTTGGAGCCGCCAATCGCGATGGCGTCGCGCGCGTCAGGAGCCGAGGGGGAACAGCGAGCGGCGGCCTCCCATGCGTCGCGAAATCTCAGCCGATCAGTTGCCGTCAGCTCGTAGTTGTGCACGTTGAAGATCATTGTCTCGAACTGTCTGGGGCAGTCGCGAACCAGCAGCTCTCCATGGTCTCCATGGCGTCCAGGGACAATCGCGCGGAGAGATCGCGAAGGGCGCTGCTCGGGCGGGAGGCGATTCTCGGCTCGGTCGAAGAAGATCGAAAAAACAATGCCGCCAGCAGTCTCCGAAGGGGACCTGTCAACCATGAGCGCGGAGTGGAAGGCAATGTAGGTGTGCCCCGAGCTCGGGGCGAGGAGGTCCACGTCGATGCGGTTCCCGTGGGTCTCCTGGATAGCGACGGTGGCCCGCTGGCGCATGTATGGCAGGAGCACTATGCGCTTCATGTCGCGCCGAGATGCCGATCGCCCATGCAGCGCCTGAGAGTTCCACGACGCGATGTTGAGCCCATCTCGATGAGACTTGGGGGGCCACGGAGACCACCTTGGGCTAAAGCCACTGCGCGGCATCCAGCGGGTTGGCGAACGCGGGCGCCAACGCCGCCACCAATTGGTCGTGCTCCGAGACGGGAATGCCTGCGGGCTCGGCGGCGGCCGGCCAGCGCACCTTGGCGTTTGCCTCGGGGGAGGCACCTGCAGTGGCCTGAACGACGGGGGCGCCGTTGATAGACAGGAACCCACCACTGCAAAGTATGCGAATGTCCAGACCTGGGTGCTTCTCGAGAATGAGTTTGTTGAGCTTCTTGGGTTGGACCTCCTGGCGGACCGTGCGCGGTGACTTGTCGGCCGATGCGTAGAGTGGGATGGCGCCGCCCGCTGCTTCGATCTGGAAGCGGCGCCAGTCACGTGCCTGCCGAAGAGCACGGTGCAGCGCGCGAGCACGAGGGATGGCCACCACGTCGCCGCCCGTAAGTGTGAAGGAGAACCTCGTCGCGGGGCCGTCAGTGTTGATACGCAGCACATTGATGTCCACATTGGCGGCAGAGAACCACTCCGATAAGGCGGCCTTGAGCGCGCCCACGGAGAACTGAAAGGCGGCGCCGCACCAGAAGGTGGCTGCGAGTGGGGCACGATCCCATGAGCCGAGGGCGTTCGGGTCCAGGGAGGGGCGCAGGGCTTTGGTATGTTGCAGAGCACGTTGAAGAGCGGTAACACTTGCTTGTCAGTCACCATGTCGTCGCTCGGCACGCTCGGCACGTCATTTGCGCTCGGCCACATCCCGCTCGGTGGGCTCTTGACGGGCGCAGAGCTGCTCGGTTGTCTTGGTGATGGAGGCCAGGAGCTCTGCTTGAGCGGCGGCGACCACTTGCTTGGAGGTGGTCTCGAATGCGGCGGCTGCTTTGTCGACCTGGACCTGCAGCAAGTCTTGGAATTGTTTCCGCTGATGTGCTGGAATGGCGGTGGCGGCGAATTTCTGGGCGCCACTGGCCCACGGGTCGCACATGTTTTCCTTGCCCTTGCCCTTGTCCTTGGACTCGGCGTCGGTGG